CATTAGCCCCTAACAAGCAGGTCAGTTTGTCCTTGAAGCTTTTAAAGTAGGCATTGACTTCTCCCCAGCTATGAAATTCCTAGATGGTTTCTTATTCAAATAGAAGGCTATCTGGTTATATTGAAAATCTCTTGCTTAGTGTAGCCCCTTCATTCATGATCTTACATAGATCTTCTGGATAACTTGCTACAGCATCTAGGTTAACATTTATTCTTAACCTTTCACTTTGTGTCCTAGAGACATCTTCTTTCCTTAAACCTCATCAAGCTTCAAACTCTTCTTCAACCTCTGCAAGCTTCAAACTTTTCTTCTCAAGCTTCTTTACCTCTCAGACTTCATAGAACTGAAGAGAATTAGAGCCTTGTTTTGGATTAGGCTTTGACTTAATGGAATCTGGTGGCTGGTTCAATCTTCAATCCAGATGGCTAATGCCTCCTCTACATCAGAAAAAAAGCTGTTTCACTTTCTTATCAATCATGTGTTCGTGGGAGTAGCACTTCTAATTTCCTTCAAGAATTTTTTCCTTTGCATTCACAACTTGGCTAACTGTTTGGCACAAGAGGCCTGGCTTTCAACCTGTCTTGGCTTTTTACATGCCTTCCTTACTAAGCTTAATGGTTTCTAGTTTTTGATTTGAAGTTTGAGATGTACAACTACCTCTTCCTTTCCCTGAATTCTTAGAAGCCGCTGCTGAGTTGTTTATTAGCCTAAGTTCAATATCATTGTGTTTCAGGGAACATGTAGGCATCAAGACAGGAAGAGAGAGAGGAAGGAACAGTGAGTTGATGAAGCAGTCAGAACACACATAACATTTGCTGATTAGTTTGCTGTCTTGTAGGGGCCCAATTTGCCATGCCCAGAAAGAATTACAATAGTAACTTCAAAGATCACTAACCGCAGATACCCGAATCAGATATAATACTCAATAAAAAGTTTGAAATATTGTGAGGTTTACCAAAATGTGACAGAGATGTAAAGTGAGCTTATGCTGTTGGAAAAATGATGCGAATAGACTAGCTTGGTGCAGAGTTGCCACAAACCTTCCAGTTGTAAAAAAGATAGTATCTGTGAATTCCAGTAAAGCAATGCACAATAAAGGAGGTGTGCCTGTATTAGAAAAGAACACACAGATTTTAAATAACAACAAAGAAAAATAAAGTAAAATTCTTTGAAATTATGAAAACTTTAAGCCAAAAGATACATACAAAGTAATATGTGAACAACAACAAAAAAATTGAGTGGGATAGATTAACACTATATTAGTGCCGGGAGAAAACATACGAATAATCCGTTTTTCTCTGATTATTTTCTTATGTGTTGAAAAAGCTTGTACTCAATATAAGAACTTTTATTAGGTCTTCAAGAAACCTTTCAATGAAAGAAAGGTTTATACATATACGTATATTGTACACGAATTGTATCAGCTATATAATATATGTGAGAGAAATTGCATCTTTAGCTATATTGTTTCTTAGGATCAGATAACTAACATTGCTTTCAAAGTAGGATTAGATCTAACTCATATTAAAGGCATAGTTTTGTTTTTTTGTTTGCAGTTTTTGGCCAGGCCTGGGTTTGAACCCACCACCTCTAGCATATGGGGTCAGCACCCTACTCCTTTGAGCCACAGGTGCCACCCTTAAAGGCGTATTTACTTTATTTTATATTTCAATATATGACCAAAGTATAACAGTCTTCTTAATTTTCTATTTATTCTAATTCTCAAAATTATGACCTAGTTATTTCCAATATATTTTTCATATTTTTTCAATTCTTCAAAATACGTTATCCCTACAGATATACAGTTCCAGGTTAAATAAATGCAATCTTGTAGGAAGTGCTTCTCAAACTTAGCCAACGTCTGGAAAGCTTTAAAATTTCAGACGCTTTAACCACACTCCTAGAGTTCTATATAATTCATGTGGGGTGTGTTTGGCATCAGGATTTTTTTTTTTTTTTTTGCAGTTTTTGGCCACAGCCAGGTTTGAACCCGTCACCTCCAGTATATTGGGCCAGAGCCCTACTCCTTTGAGCCACAGGCGCAGCCCTGGCATCAGGATTTTTTTTTTCTCTTGCCTCAGCCTCCCAAGTAGCTGGGACTATGGGCGCCTGCCACGATGCCCGACTATTTGTTGTTGTTGTTGTTGTTGCTGCTGTCATTGTTGTTTAGCAGGCCCAGGCTGGGTTTCAACCTGTCAGCCTCAGTGTAGGTGGCTGGCGCCATAACCACTGTGCTAGGAGCGCCGAGCCACAAAAATTTAATTATTGAATAAGCGTTTAACCAGAATGTGATGTGCTTCACAGGCAACCTGTTACAGGGACTTACAAAGTCAGAAAAAAATCTCACTCTTTTATATAGTTAAGGAATACAATCTACTTAATATTAGGCAGGTTTTGCAATTTGGAATTATATAATAGCAGAAATTATGGTCATCTCTTCCTATGAAACTCAGAGAAAGTTATTTCAAAGAGATAGCTCTAGGGTCCTCAAGGAAGCATTCCTCAGTTGGAAAGATTTGACCTTACAAAGGTTAAATCGTGGTGAGGCAAGAGAATTGTGTTCCCCTGATAAAAAAACAAAACTAATTTGTTTTGTTTTGGTTAAGAGATAGCCAAGTGAAAATTTAAGAAACAATTTTCTCATTTTTTTCCCAAGCAAAGTTTTGCCACTAATCATAATCTTCCTTGATTTAATATTTTGCATGTGTTTAAACGTACACCATTCTATTAAGTTTTTGTTTGTTTGTTTAGAGACAGAGTCTCACTTTATGGCACTAGTGCTGTGGCGTCTCAGCTCCCAGCAACCTCCCACTCCTGGGCTTAGACCATTCTCTTGCCTCAGCCTCCCGAGTCCTGGGACTACAGGCGCCCGCCACAACGCCCGGCTTGGGTTGGGTTCGAATCTGCCACCCTCGGTCTATGGGGCTGGCGCCCTACCCATTGAGCCACAGGCGCTGCCCGTCTATTAAGTTTCAAAATACATAAATCTTATGTTTTCTCCCTGTATGCAGTTGCTGCTTCAGTTCATAAATCTTCTGTATCTTGTTTTCCCCAACACCCACATTTTCAACTTTTGGCTTTGGGATTTTGTTTGTTTCCTTGCTTGTTTTTTGCAGTTTTTGGCCGGGGCTGGGTTTGAACCTGCCACCTCCGGCATATGGGGTGGGTACCTTACTCCTTTGAGCCACAGGCGCCACCTGAGATATTTTTTTTCTAACTTCTAAGGCCTCCTAAGGAAGGCCTTCCAGTTTAGAACCGGGTTAATGTCCTCTCGTTTAAGCCCTTTCCTCTGCGTACCAAGAGTCACTTTTTTTTTGAGACAGAGTCTCACTAATGCCGCCCTCGGTAGAGTGCTGTGTCCTCACAGCTCACAGCAACCTCAAACTCTTGGGCTTTAGCAATTGTCTTGCCTAAGCCTCCCAAGTGGCTGAGACTACAGCTGCCTGCCACAACACCTGGCTATTTTTTGTTGCAGTTGTCACTGTTGTTTAGCTGGCCCAGGCCAAGCTTGAACCCACCAGCCTTAACCATTGTGGCCGGCGCCATAACCAATATGGCTGACACCGTAATCACTGTGCTACAGGCGCCGAGCCCCCAAAGGTCACTTTTTAATAGTCTTGCTGGGTTGAAGGGTTACCTTATAAATATTTCATCCTGTAGAACGTTTCAGCAATGCGACTTCTTTTCCCTTATAGTTAAAAGCCTTTCAATAGTATTCTATCCTCACCTATTCTCACTGTTTGGTGGGAAATTACCTGTGTAGTTATTTTCTAAGTATTCTACAATCCTTCCAGACTCAGTGTGCTAATTAGAACCAGAATAAGGAGCCAAGGACATCTCAACAAAGCTCACCAATTAACATAGAAAAGCACCAGGTCTTGATGTCATCAACAGGCACCCAAATCTTAAAGTCCCTTGTATATTAAATACTCCATGTGTCATTAACTACCTAAGCGAGAAGAGTACTGTCCTTTGCTTTTTATAGCATACACAGGCTCACTAGTCTTCACAGAGAGGTCGTTTGATGCTGTTTTAACTCTAGTCCACCCTTAATACCTTAATTGTGGCCTAGGACACAATTGCTTTACTGTGGATAGTGCTAAGGATTTACAGTACTTTAACAGTAGTATATTAACCTTTTGCTGGACCATAATTAGCCCATCAGGGGAGGTGCCTGTGGCTCAAAGTAGGGTGCCAGCCCCATATGCCGGAGGTGGTGGGTTCAAACCCAGCCCCAGCCAAAAATTGTGAAACAAAACAAAACAAAACATAATTAGCCCATCAATCTTCTATTTATTTATTTATTTTTATTTATTTATTTATTTATTTATTTATTTTGAGACAGAGCCTGGGTAGAGTGCTATGGCATCACAGCTCACAGCAACCTCCAACTCCTGGGCTCAAGCAAGTCTCCTGCCTCCACCTCCCAAGTACCTGGGACTACAGAAACCTGCCAGGATGCCCAGCTATTTTTTGGTTGCAGCCATCATTGTTGTTTACCGGGCGGGGCTGGATTCATTCTAACCCTCCAGCTCGGGTGTATGTGGCTGGCGCCTTAGCCGCTTGAGCCACAGGCACCGAGCAGTAAACCCACATTTTTTTTTTTATTAAATGATAACTGTGTACATTAATTCCATCATGGAGTACAGTGTGATGTTTTCATATACAATTTGAAGTATCTTCATGAAACTGGTTAACATAGCCTTCATGTCATTTTCTTTAAGATTCACTTGTACCCTTGAAAGATAATCCACAGAGGTGATCCCTTCAGTCACCCTCCCTCCACCGTAGCCCATCAATCTTTACCTAGCTTGTCGCTACACACACACACACACACACACACACACACACACACCCCAACGGCGGCTTGAATGGCGCAGACGCGAAAGAACGAGTAAAACCAGAAAGTAGGTTAGGTAATAAGTGTAATGGCTCATTCAGGGAAAAGATGGGGGGTGCTGGAAAGGGTCTTTGGGTGAGGAACAGGAACAGGAGTATAGTTAGCCGCTGAACCCGTACAAAGTATGGCCCTGGTGTTTCAGAGCATATATAATATCCATCGCAGTGACGGTCCTCCTTTTCGCATGATCGGTATAGGTCACCGCATCAGTTATTATGTTCTCCAGGTACAGTTTCAGCGCGGCGCGGACTTCTTCGTAAACGGTGGTGGAAAGACGTTTGACCCCGCCTCTGCGGGCCAGCCGCCGGATGTCGGGTTTGGTTATGCCTTGGACACTATCGCGGAGAATTTTTCTATGACGCTTGGCTCCTCCTTTCCCAAGGCCAGGCAAGCCGAGGCCGCGTCCAGACGTGTTCAGAAACGCTCTCAGCATCACGATTCCTGGTAGCACCTCGAGTGATACTAAGGTAGAACTAAGGCTCAAAACCACTGTTGTAGAAGTTTACATACGACAGAGGCAAGTTGTTATGGCAACTTCATGACTGACAAGATACGTCATAATGATACTGACCTACTAGGGCTTACATGTGGGTGACCCCCACCCAAGACGGAAATTGACGTTGAGAAAGTAGATCTTATTTGCATGAGATCTACTTGTTTTGCTAGAATGCCCACAATTTCAATCTAATGATGATACTAAGTAGAAATCCAGTTTTTTGTTTCTGTTGTTTGATTAGCCATAATTAAATTGCTTTTAAAAGACAGAAAATTCTGCATCATTATTCAGTAATGTGAAGCTGTTTATAAGCACGTTCTCCGTTTGCATTTATAGGGCAAAAATTCAGAGGCTTATTACTTCCTATGTGCCATCTGGATAAGTGCCACCAGATGGCATGTGGGTGGCAATGATCATATGGCCTAAATAGAAAATCTCAACTGGGTTTTTAGGTAACTAAATGAAAGAGATTATATTATACTTTCCCAGAGATTTCTGATTTATTCATTGACATAGAATTATATCAACTGAAATTTAATAGTAAGATCAATCCTAATAATTATATATTAGATAACACAATACAGTTTTGATTAAGAATAATTTCATTTATTTTTATTTTCAAAATATTTTCTCAAGGCAGTGCCTGTGGCTCAAAGGATTAGGGCGCCGGCCCCATATACCAGAGGTGGCAGGTTCAAACCCTGCCGAGGCCAAAAACTGCAAAAGAAAAAAAAAATTCTCAAAGTATTTAATAAATTTTCTCACATTTAAAAGGCTTATAATAAAAAGCAACATATTTTTATTCATCATTGGAAAGCACCTCAACTGTTCCTTTGGTAACTTACATGTTTCTTAATTGATCCAGTTGATGAGGATTTAGAGTATTTTTTTATTATTTTATTATTTTTTTTTTTTTTGGATTTAGAGTATTTTGAAAGGAAAGCAAACTTTCATCCAGAAGTTAGTGACAATTCCAAAATGACTGCTTAAATGTAACACTAACCCTTTCCTAAACTAGGAAGACATCCCGATTTTATGTTGAAGTTATATGACATAACTTACTCCTGTACATCTGCCTGCATCTTTTTGAAGTCAAAAGCACTACATTTCTTCTGCTCTTGACAGAAGTCTTTTTGTCTACCACAGGCTTTCTTTTTTCTGCTAACTGGTGCTTAACTCTTATCTTATGATTAACTATCCTATAATGTACAGCATATTGACTGTAATTAATAGTACAGTTTCATTGAAAATTGTTATATAGTATTAAGCATCTTCACCTTCCCCCCCACACGTACACAATAGTAACTATGTATGGTGATGGATGCATTTATTAATTCAGGTGGTAATCATTACAAAATGTATGCATACAGCAAATCGTCACGTTGTACACCTTGAATACACTATGTAGACAATTTTTACCTGTCAATAATACCTAAATAAATCTGGGGGAAAGTATTTATCCTCTGTTTATTTACATAATGTAGAAACTGATTTACTCCATACAGCTTACCAAAATCCAGTGATGAAATATTGGTGGGCTCTCTTTGCATATGACTACCAGTTTTCCCGACTAAGGGATAATCTTTCCCCCTAAGGGAGCAGTGTTTATTCTCCTCCAACAAGATATTACTAGTAGATGTTTCCTGATTAATTATAGAATGTATGCACAGTCTAGAAAGATTTATACTACTTTCCAATTTTCCCTTTAGCATACTCTTTATTTATTTTTTATTTCAAATTAATATGAGGGTACAAATTTTTAGGTTACATTGTTCTCACTTCCAAGGTAAAGTTCAAGTTGTAAAAGAGCACTTCACCTAGGGGGAGTGCAGAACACCTTCACATTGTGCACATTAAGTGAGATCCCACCAAATGCCCTCCTTCCTCCTGCCAATCACCCTCCCTGCTCCCCACTCCCTACTCAGTCCTCCACCTTGCTAGACTATATTTGTGTTTTATCATTTCTATCAGCAGGTAATTGTTTATATTGGTTTCATATTAGTATTGAGTACATTGGATATTTTTTTTCCATTCTTGAGATACTTTACTAAGAAGTATGGGTTCCAGCTCCATCCAGATAAACATAAGATAAGAGATGGAAAATCTCCATCTTTTTTATGACTGAATACTACTCCATGGTATACATAGGCCACAGTTTGCAAATCCATTCGTGGCTTGATGGTCATTTGGGTTGCTTCACGAATTGGTAATTGTGAATTGAGCGTCAGTAAACATTCTGGTGCAAATGTCTTCGTGGTAAAATGATTTTTGTTCTTCTGGATAGAAACCTCACAATGGAATTGCAGGAGCAAATAGAAGGTCTATGTTTAGCTCTTTGAGAATTCTCCATACTTCTTTCCAAAAAGGCTGCATTAATTTGCAATCCCACCAGCAGTAAGAGTGTCCTCTTTTCTCCACCTCCACCCCAGCATCTGTGGTGTGGGCAATCTCACTGGGGGTTGATGATATCTCAGAGTGGTTTTGATTTGCATTTCTCTGATTATTAAAGACCAGGAGCATTTTTTCCTGTGTTTGCTGGCAATTCATCGGTCATGTTCAGATAAGTTTCTGTTCAAGTCTCTTGCCCACATAGAAATGGGATTGTTTTCTCTTTCCTTGTAGTCTAATTTGAGTTCTCTGTAAATTCTAGTTATCAGGCCTTTGTGAGATTCATAACACAGTATACTCCTTTTAAAAAGTTTTCAAATTGTGAATACTGACCTATTATGCTTTTTGGTGTCATGACTTGCACAGTCTTTTTTGTTTCACAAGAATGCACACACACACGTCATTTTTGTTTCACAAGCATGCACACACACACGTATATATTTGCATATGTAAATTCAGTAAAAATCAACTCATTTTAAAATCCAATATTCTAGAACGTGGATATTTTTAAAAACAGATTTAAACAAGGGATCACAATTTTTCTACTGAGTTATCAAAAATTTTGTTTCCTAGATTCAATCATGAAAATTTGTCAGAAAGACAAGGAAGAGCATTGTATGATCATAAAAGATTCAATTCACCAGGGAGATACAACAATTAGAAACATACATGTGGCAAATATTGAAGCACTTAAATATATAATGTAAAAATTGACAGAGCTAAAGTTAGAAATACACAGCAACACAATAGTAGTATATTTTAGTACTCCAATTTCAATAATAGATAGAGCATCCAGACAGAAAATCAATAAAGAAATGAATGGTATGAAAAATTCTGTGGGCTAGATAGACTGAGCAGACATATACAAAACTCTGCACCAAACAGCAGCACAATATACATTCTTCTCAAGCATACATAGAATGTTCTCCAGGCTAGGTCACCAAACAAATATTAAAAACTCTAAGAAGAAAAAAAATAAAATAAAAACTCTAAGAAGGTTGAAATTGTATCACATACTAGAGCTACATCAACAGAAGAGAAACTGGAAAAATTACAGATATGTGGAAAGGAGTATAAAGGCTTCAAAGTGTCAATTATTCAGAATGAATAAGCTCTAGACATCTACTAGTGCCTTTACTTAACAATACTGTCTTGTGCACTTAAAATTTTGCTAAACAGGTAGATTCCAAGTTAGGTGTTCATATCACAAAAGAAAGGTTCTGGGAGGAGGAGGAAAGATCTGGAAGTGATGGATACATTTATTACTTTAATTGTGGTGATGGTTTCATGGGTGTTTAGATATGTTCAAACTTATCAAATCGTGTACATTAAACATGAACAGTTTTTGTATAATTATACCTCAATAAAGTAGTTAAAAATAGATATTCCATAACCATGTCCTTAACGTTTTAGTATTCTTAAGATAGAAATAGAATTCATTGAACTAAAGAGTCAATACAATCCCTATCAAAAGAAGATTCAGTGCAATCCCCATCAAAGTTGTTCTGCCTTATTTGCAGAAACAGATAAGGTGATCTTAAAAATCATATAAATACATGTGACCCCCAAATAACCAAAACAGTATTGAAAAAGAACAATGAGGACTAATATGTTTAGGTCTCAGAACTTACTACAAAGTTACAGCAATCAAGACTGTGGTGCTGGCATAAGGATAGGCATATACAAGTAGTTAATAAGCACTCAAAACAGTACTCAATGTTATTATTCACTAGAGAAATGCAAATTAAAACCACAATGAAATACCACTTCCCACCCACTAGAATAGGTATAATTTTCAAACAAAGAAACCAGCAAGTGTTGGAGAGAATGTGGCAAGAACAGACTCCTCCTACAGTGGTGTTAGTGATGTGTAGTAGAATGATGCGGTTGCTTTAAAAAACGGTTTGACAGTTCCTTAATAAGTTAAAAATAATGTTACATTCCTCGCTATAGCCACAGGAGAAATGAAAATCTATGTCTATATGAAAACTTGTATGTGAATGTTCTTAGCAGCATTATTCATAATAGTCAAAAAGTTAGAACAACTCAAGGGTCCATCAAATGAAGAATGCATTAACAAAATGTAGTTTACACAATGGAATATTATTCAGTAATAAAAAGGAATGAAGTGCTTATATGTGCTACAATATAGCTGAACCTTGAAAATATGCTAAATGCAAGAAGGCAGACACAAAAGATACAGATTGTCTGTATCCATTTATATGAAATATCTAAAATAGGCAAATAGAGACACAAAGTAGATAAGTAGTTTTCAGAGGCTGGGAGGAAGGATGAATAGGAATGGCTGCTAATGGGTAGAGGCTTTCTTTTTGAACTAATAAAAATGTTCTGGAATTAATAGTGATGGTAGAACATTGTTATCAGTTTATTAAAAGCTATTGTACTATATATTTTAAAAGGGGGAGTTTTATATTATGCAAATTGAATCTCAATAAATATACTGTGAGATAAGATTTTAATAAAACTCTCTTAGAAAATGAAATATCGAAAAATAAAAATATATTACTTTAGACTGAAATAATAAAGTC